CTTTTATCACATAGACTATTTTTCAAAACCCATTTTAAATCATCCGAAATTTCAGATTCTTCAAATGTAACAGAGGATTATAGAAATAGGAAAGGAAGAAATTAAATTTGAAACATTTTGTTTTTTATCTGTCAAAGTAATTTCCTCCCAAAGATTTTCAACAAAAAGATAGAATAAAAAAGAATGACTTTTGCATACAGAGCAGATTATTTGATAAATTAAATAAAATCCAAAGGGAAAGGAAGGAATGTCAACCATATTAATGTTAAATGCTAGTTCAAATTTTGCATGAGAATTTGATCAGTTCATTTGTTTTTCTCCTGTTAATATTTAAATTTACGTATTTGCAACTTGAAAGATAGAAGACAGATATGAGAGAGGAAAATGAGTGTATGAGAAGACGAAGCAAAAATGTTGCTCATAATCGAAGTAAAGTGCCTGAAGGCTCGCCTGCACTTTAGGCCACATATCAAAGTAACAGTGTAGTTGCTTCCTTTTAACAATGAAATGCAATTTTCACATTGTTCAAGCAGACTGCTAAATTTAATGGACAACTCGTTTGATGCGACATTTGTTATTAGATATTTGGCTCTCTTCCGCCTTTCTTTGCCATAAATTGGCCCAATAAAGAAATATTCTTGGAAAGGTATTAAAAGTGCATGTATGAATGCTTCAGAGATTTGAACTTCTCAAATTTTTTGCCATTTCATTCATCTCTTCATTTCCATTCATTTCCTTCTGCTATTTCCATTCAGTACAAAATAAGGAAATGAATTTTCCAAGTAAATGCAAAATTCTAAAGAAGTTATTATCATCCATAGGAAAAATATGGAAAAACCAAATTTTAAAAATGCCCTCAAACAACTTCCGAAATTATTTAAATCATGTCGTATACTGTATTTGTAAATGAATAAATAACGTTAGCAAGATTAAACTTTTTTTTGATAAATTATTTATTAGTTTTGACAATTTAGCTTCTAGCTTTTTTTACTGAAGTTTTTTTTTTTTTTTTTTTTTTTTTGTTACTCATGTCTTTTCTGTATTCAAAAACCTTGGATGAAGCAATTAGCAAAATAGCAATAAAAACAATTTATAAAAGGTTGACAAATTTCGGTGAAATTAAACGTTTTTGACATTCATTCGAGGTAACGATGAAACAAATTTAGATTAAAACCATTTTTTAACTTAGTTTAAAATAAGGAAAAGAACTGAATAACATATTTGCAGGCATATGTTCTGGGAATATTACAGATTTAATTCCTAAGAAAATAATACTGAAAAGAATCTATTTGAAATAGACGACAAAATCTAAAAATTATTTTAATTGCCTTCCTCGAAACCTTTCACTTCTTTGTCTACTACTGTAATGAAATGAATTTCTCTCTAAACAAGAATGTCGAGTCTTTTTTTAAAGAAATAATTTGCATATCTAACTATGCTAAAGATTCAGTTTAGTTCCTCGATATAGCATTACTTTTTTATTTAAGTCGGATGACAACTTTAAAAAGTATAATTTCTGCAAACGATTCATCAATAGAAGCTTAAATTTTGACTTGAATGTTTCAAAAACCAACTACAGAATTAAATTTTTATGTTATGAAAGATGAAGTTTGTCCCATTGCTTTGTCACTGTAATAAGTTTGCTTGCGATAATATCTCAAAAAAGAAGTTAAGTTTCAGTTTTATTCTCTTTTTTACGTTTTTCATAACATAAAAAAATTGTAGTATTTGAAGTTTCTAGAAGTATATGGGATAAAAAGAACAATTAATATCAAAAAAGCATTAAAAGTAAAATTTGACTAAGTTTGTTTTAAGATCAGAGTGTAATTAAAATCTTCTTAAATACTAATAGAATATGATTACATCAAATAGAAAAGAAGGATTAGTGTATTCTTGCTGAAACATAAGATAAACATTAAATTTTTTCAGTCGTAAAAGTAAAATCACAGAAGAATCTGTAATTGATTAATTCAAGATAGTAATCAAAGAGATAACAATAATTCTCAATCAAAAGACTTTGTTTTGAAATTTCACTGAACTTTGTAAGTATTCACTACGACGACATTTCTGTAATTTTCCTTTTATAGATTTCTTTCTAAAAAATTGTGAAATGAGACTAACCACTTATAAGAATGCAGTAGGATTATGAAGATTACCATGAAACATACAAAAAAAAAAAAAAAAATACTAGTAAAATTGATAGGATGCAAAATTATATATCGCAGCAAGAATTTCCCGCTCCTCTTTCATAAATTGAAGAATCCAGTTGCCCTTAATTAGCTAAACACCTAATTACTTCTCTCAGTGTCACAGCAAAGACGGTAAAATTCATTAAAATTTTCAGAGATAAAATCATATTAATGAAAATATGAGCCATTTTCGAAATTTCTTTAAAGCGAATTACTAAATTAACTCTTTCTTTGTTGTTTATTTGATTAGTTCTGTAGAAAAATGTAATAATTTCATTTGCTTATTTATTTAAAGTTACTAGTAGAACTGCAAAAGGTCAGCTAAGGTCATGTAGCACAGTAATCCATAGGTTAGCGAATTAATGAGGTTAGGAAGCAGCAACTGAACCAATTGGTTTAAAAGTCAGCAAAGCTTTTGAGTGTACAATACAAGGTATTCTAAACCTTCTCTTATTTGCTTAGTAATTAATTCCTTTCAAAGACAGCTTTGACATGTGATATTCGGGTTATGTAGTAATTTGAATTAGATGAATGAAATAAAAGTGAAAGTGAAGACTTCTGACACAATAAATTTTTGATCGTTGTCAAGAATCGAAGGGAAAAATTTTAAGATTGTTTGTTCCTTGCCATTGTACGGACATAAATCAACTATAATACAAAATAAAACAAACCGAAGCGTCTACGTCGTGCGCTATTAGTCTTCCAAAATACAGCAGGTGCTGAACCAAGTGAACTGGTCACCGTTGAGGTTGGTACCATTTGGTTAGGATGTGTTCTGTGGAAATGGAAATAGTTGGTCATTTCCATATGACTTGAGCTTGGCTTAACGAAGAGAGGTTCGAGACGTTTATCACGTTTTGTCCACATTGTTTTGTTTGTTACGAACGGATCTACAAATGTTGCAAATCCGGCAAAACAGAACGCCAGCTTGACAATTGCTGCTTATTGAGTCGTCCAAGAAGCGACAATACTATGATTAGCAGTGATAGCAATAATAGTAATGTCTGGGACATGTATTGATGCCAAGTTTCGTTGATCGTTGAATTAATTTCTCAATTTTGATGTAATTTGTAGCTTTTTGTTGGAAATTATTGCATTGATGCGAGAAAGAGCTAAAATATTTGAGAGAAATTTAGCATATATACGTGTCAAAGTTTAACAATTGATAGTAATCAGTGAACGAAGCACGCAAAATTGAGGAAAAATAATAGAAGAGTAAAATTTGAATGAAATGCGCTTAAAATATGATACTTTAAAAGAGTTAAGGTAATAATATTCTCTTTTCATGCTTTCTATTGAAATTTTTATGAAAGATAGAAAATTGCACGACTTTAATGCATGCTTATGAATCAGAATTGCTTTAGTGCAATTTCCAAAAGAAAATTAAAGTAGAAATTGAATTCAAATCAGAATGAAGCATTTGAATAAAACTATTGTGCGAATACACATATACAACCTATTTAGCAGCAATTATTTAACTAAAAAGAGATGAGTAAAGAATAAATGTTCGGATGGATGGTTGAAATAGAAGTGTTTCCGAAGGCAGAATACATTTCTGTTCAAGAAGAGAAATACAGTAATTTTACAGAAAGCACTTGTTGACTGAATTCTCTATTTCAATTTTATTTTTATAAAAAGAAAATTGCTAGCCAAATGTTCAAGAATTATAAGATTTATTGCCTTGTAAAGTTTGGTTAGAATAGACAACATTTATTTGAAAGACGTAAAAATAACTGCAGCAAATTAGAAATAAATTAAAAATGTAAAATTTAAAGAGAAAAATATTTACAAAGTAAAATGCTAGACCAAAGCTCAAATTAGCAGTATTATTTAAAACAATCATAATTGGTGATGTTTTTTCTTGACAGAATGAATCTTTTTGCAACATCGGAAAGTCTCAAATATTAAACCAAGCGACAGGGATTCTCTAACACTACGAAACTAATTTGATCATATATATTGCCCCTATTAAAATGGGAGAAATAGAACTGGAAATAAGTAGAAAAAAGAGAAAGTTTGAATTTTGTTCAAAGTTTGAGAAATAAATGATCGGAAAATAGTTTAAATATTTGAAATAGTTCAGTTGTTTGATTTAATAACTTAAATTATGGTTTCTAGGGAAAATAAAGTCGATATTACTATTAGCAGTAATTCAGCAGAATGTACTCCATCATTAGTCATATAAAACATTGTCACACCTTTACACAAACAATAAAAATACCAATCATTTTTCATTTTCAAAATTATATTGGTAGCTAATAGCAATAAACTGTCAACATTTATAAGTTTATCAAGTATAAGCTAATAACTAGCAATAAAAATCGATTAAAAGTCGATATTTTCTTCTGAAAGGAAAGCATTGTCCCACGTGGTGAGAAATTTGATAAGTTTCTAAGAAAAGCAAGCATAAATGACATCTAATCATAATAGCGATTAAAGAATATTAAAAATATGGCAGGATATATTTTCAAATTTGCAGAAAACGCAAAACATATTATTACACATTAGGCGGCTTAAATCAAATATCGCAAAGCATTAAAGGTGCAATTAGCAACGAATTAATCAAGCGATAAATTAATTAAAACATTTAGTCGAAGAAATAATCAAGATTTTCTCTAGTTTATGCATATAAGTGAGTCATAACATTTAATAATGTAAAGAAACTTTTTAACTGGATTAATTAGGTCTGTGAGATATGGTAAAGAAGACCAACCCTTCCACTTACAAAACTTAAACAAAAAGTTCAATCATAATTTGACTTATAAAGACCACAATTGCTGTGATCAGTCTTTTTAGATTCTTATCCACTGATCATTTTCCATCTCGCAAAAGCTGCTTAGCTGTATATGACAACGATTTTTTGCAGATGCAGATGACACATGTTATTTGATGTCCTAAAATGTCACTCACAGTCAGTTTTCTTTTCAAGTATTGATATCTAAAATATCCGAATAATTTCTACTAATTTCTCTTATGATTCTTGATTTTTCGATGAATCTCGACATTGATCATCCATTGATCTTGCTGTCACTTAAAGTTTTTATCATTTTAGTGTTATCCAGTCGAGATAAGAAAAAATTGTCAATTAGCAAATTTACAAGATAATAATATATCATGGAAACTTTTCCTTACTTGTTTGTTTGTCTGAAGCGTTAGAGCAAAATCAACTTTGATCCTTGGAGTGGAATAATTCAATTAAGGTAATTTGGCATAAAGTGCATCCACTTTCATTTCTCTAAAAGCATTAGTCAACAACTTTGTGTTTTTCAATTTTTGATGTCTAAAAAGTCAAAATTAATGGTTCCATGAAAATACCGCACAAATTCTGCGAAAAACTTGAGCAAAAGAAAAAGAAAAAAATGATATTTTCTGTTTATTGATATTTTAACTCGACTTGGCTTAAACTGTACTTGTCTGGCTTAGTTTCTAGAGAAGAATTGGGCCAAAGAATTAGTTAGTGAGGGAATGATGCTGCTGCTATAGCTACTACTGCATTGGTGATAATAGTGCTGATAAAATTGACAGTCTTTAGCTAATGCATAACTCATGCGAATGGAATGTGAAATGAGGACTTATTACTTTAAGTTCTATTCTTCATGAAAATGAAAAAAGCGTATGACAAATTGCATTTAATTTTCTCTACTAATATGCAAATTTATGGGATTTTTCACTATATGAATTTCCCATATAAATTCAAATGAAAAAATAACTAAGTATAAATATATAAAAGTTACTATTACTTACAATTACTTAAAATGAATCAACATACGCAGAAAGCTTTCAAATAAATTGAATATTAATGTGAACAGTGTTCTATTTATGTTAAAAATATAAGATAAACAAAATATGAAACTACGCCAATTTCTACGAATTCAAACTGTTCCCTTCTGAGTTGTGGCTAGAACATCCGTATCAGATTTTATAACTCGATTACCTAAAATAAGTAGTGGAAGCAGAAAGCCCAATTTCTTCGGAATTTCAACCTGCTCGATTTTACTGTAAAAAAAAATGATAGCTCCTTTCATGAAATCTGATACCTTAAAGTATTGTTTACCACTAAGAATAATCGTAAACTTTAAGACGGAATAAATCTTTGATGAAAATATCTTCGATCCCATCGAACATACCTAAAACTTTTCTGAAAACACACTTTTATCACAATTTCGTAGTTTTAAATATGTCAATTAATCAGAAAGGAATAATTTCTGAATGACTTACATCGTTGAAATGTTCATAAAAATTATTAAGAGCAAGTCAATCTGTTTAGTAAATTCGGAGTGTCAATGAATACTTATTTTTGTGACAATAATTCATCAGTAATACGTTATTTCTATTTCTTGAATACATCATTAATACTAATTATTTTTTAGATTTGGTAAGTAATAAACAGGAATGAAAAGAATAATCAACGAAAGTTCGATGTTATTCATAAAATAAAACGAGAAAGAAAGAGAAAGGAAAAAGGATAAAATGGGAAAAAAACATTAAACAGGAAAACTTTTATTGAAATATAATTGTTGTGTTGTTATTGTTATCTAGAAGAGAATCTCTTGTTATATAAAACTTTTGCTTAGTGTATAAATAAGAACTGAGAGTTTACCGAAACATAACTCCAGTTATCATCTTCCCCAAAAGCTTCTTCCCAGATAAGTGAAAAAAAAACTCTAAGTTTGATTTGTTTATGTAGAATTGGTCAGCTTATTGATGAAACTATTTTTCAAGTAGCTAAAGCAATTTTTAAAGATTTTTTTTTTTAATTTCAAGAAGAGAATTAGAACAAAAATAGATATATTAATGCATGTGGAAGTTTGCGCATATTTTTCGCTCATTGAATACTCACAAGACATAAAATACTCTGAAATAAAAAAAAAAAGGAAACAGTTGTGGTAAGAAGAAGAGTAGAGGATAGCTGAAGGAGATCAAGGAAACAAAATTTTCAAATCAAAATAAATTGTGGCTTATTTTGTCATCAAGAATTATGTGTAATTCAGGATGTTGATGTTGATGAGTTCCTTTGATTGGAAAAATGGCTCATTCGGTTATCTGATATTGTCAAAAAGGATTATTGTTAATAGGTTACCCATAAACACCTGAAAATTCGAAAAGAGAAAGAAAAATAACTAGCAAAATGAGAATGTAAAAAAAAAAATGAAAGTGAAATTTTTATTCTTTTTGACGGATACGGGCGCAAATATCTTCTGAGTACATGATTTGAATGTAACAAAAAATGCTAAATTAAATACGTCATATGATGATATCTTAAAATAGTGTAGCAAACAAGCAAAAGAACGAATTTCGGAAGTAGTTGTAATGTAGGATTTCGATGATTACCGGACCGGAAGTTTAAAGATAAGTCTGAGGTCAGATACGATTGACGATGTTTACTGCCAAAGTTAGCAGACAGATTGAAACGATGGCAAAAATTGGTGCAATGCAGCTGTCGAATAGGCTACATTTTAGCCTAAACAAAATTAATGGACAGTCGATTAATGGACAATCTCTTTGGGTACTACATCTCTTTCCCTGTTACCTGCTATCAGTGATACATACTTTATCAAGCAATAATGATAAGCATAACTCCAACTTGAAATACCTTTGATCCTAATGAGAGGTCATATACGCTTAACTGTTACTGAATTATTAAATTAGGTTATGATAAGGGTATGAGTCAATGCCAGGAATTAAGAATTATGTCCAATATTTACGTTATTTTGCTAATTGTTTACAAACACAAATGATGACGCAAGGTTGTATATGTGAATTAAATTTGTTAGCTAACAGATATACTGCACTAATGAATACATACTTGTAGGTTAAGCCAAGATTGAGCAACAAAAAGCCAAGAAATCGGACATTTTAGCTGTGAGTTTGGGTAAGTTTAGGTCCGATTAATGTGTTAGTCTTTTGATGGTGAAATGAGCAGATAGTTTTTGAGAGAGGAACGGAGGAAGGATGAATAGTTGGTAGGAGAAGGAATGAAAATATTGCAAACATACTGGTACTGATAGATCTCCTTGTGACAGTAAGAAGAGCAAATCGGTAGCAGTAGAGATTTTGGGGAAAAAGTGGAATTAAAAGTCAAAACCGAAACTGATTAAGACCAATAGAGAGAGAAGCAAAATGATATCAAGAAGGTAAGGAGAGGTAAAATAAGCAAAAATGATAGAGAAAGTGTCCCTCTCTCTCTTCTTCTCTCTCTCTCTCTCTGTTGATGGAACAGTGACTTTGAAATTGCCATATGTTTTGCAAAATGGGAAAGTGTTTCTGCATCTATCCACAAAGAGTAACAGCAATGTCCGCTCTATAAGCTTCTTTTGGAGAATGGCAGTAGGTTGCTTAGACAAACGCGCACGAAAGAAAGAATAGAATGAATCAGTGAAGAGTCGCACTTCCTTCAAAACGATCAACTCTCAATTATTCATTAACCACTTGCCATTATTAATTATCTGTTCGCTCTCTTTCCTGTTATCACCGTATTTTTCAAAAGTCCGACGAGATTTAACTTGTCGAGATCACTTCTTGCATATGATCATCATAGTTAGAAGAATTAAGCTTGAATTTTAAACCAAAACAAAACTTCTTTTTACTTTTGCTACTTACGCAATTGTCATGTATGCTTGGACTTGTATCATAAACATCTTTTTTATAAGTAAGTCTAATCAGAATTATCAGTTAATAATGATAATAAAACTACAATAGTGGTACCATTCCATGGTATTGGGAATGAAATTCGACAGGACAATGGAAAATTTTCACATTTAAATAGTTTTGGGAAAATTATGTTGGGGTTGAGAAACCAGACAAAAGCGCTAAAATGAATGTAAGAATAGTTTCCAGTTGCGCGTTGAATTCCGCTATTAAAGTTATAGAATTTGTTTCTAAGCTTGTTTACAAAATATACGATGCTTACAGGTAAGAAACCCGCAGAGGTAGGATTAAAAGATGTTGACAGCAGAATGACTGGAATTACTTGTATCAACACGGGAAGAAAAAGTCCATTTAAAAGATGAGGCGCTAAAGTAAGTTAAAATAAAATGTGTCAACTCTCATCAAAATCAAAAGCAGTAATTAAATTGAAACAGAGAGATAATTAATGTACTAAGAAATACGAAATTCATTACGGGTTCAAGTATAATTTCTATACTTTTAAAACGGTGAATACATAGGATTAGATCAGATAAACATACAATTTAATAAGATTTTTAAAACAAAATTAAAATAAGCAGTAAAAAGGTCAAAAGATTTGTCGCGGATTGAAATAATGAAGAAAAAAAGTGGATAATTATGCTAATTATGAGATGGGACAGATTAAGAAGACTAAGAGTTGGTTAGCTACAGCATTTGACCAACCGAAGTAGTTCATATTTGTGGGTAATAGAACAATTTAAGCATATATTACAGACATATGAGTGAGATATCAGTAAAGGAAATGGAGGATTATTGCGATAATTAAAGACTGAAAACCTGCTCACCTACAATATTTTAAGAAAATGATATTAAATCTACACCCAGATTCATTTTGAAGGACTTATGGAGACAGTCATCGTTCAAGATCTGAAATCAATAAAAAACTAATGATACAAATTTATGGAAGGTTAAAAATAAATTTTTTGCGATATGAATGGAGGTATACAGTCTCTGGCCTAATATGTGATATGAGTGAGTGCAGATATTGTGCCAAAAATTCATTAACAAATCTGATGATACCATGTTATATTGGCCACTAAATATATTGTATTAATCGACTATATTTGTAATTTTATTGAAAATGAAATAGAAAAGAGAAAATTACTAAATATAAAAATGATAAAAAGAATAAATTTCCTATTTGAGAAGCAAATCGGAATATTAATATTAGTGGCATAAAACTAACTAAGCGTTGTATTCAAATCATATCCAAGAGCAATATGAAAATTAACAATCAATAGGAAGTGTTGTTTAAGTGACCAATACGACAAATCATTGATCATTTTATTAGCCAGCTAACTTGCTGTGTTACAACAATAGTGCAAATAGTTTATAGATTATCAAAAAATGTGAGAAAATAAATCAAAACAGGTGACAAATAAGCAGTTTAAAGTACTTTGCAATTTTCAGAATACGAATTGAAATTAAACCTGAACATAAGATATAATGGATAGTTTGTAGTCAAATTGATCCATACTGCCATACAAAAAATTTAAAGAAAAACAAGCAAACAAAATTAGGAAAGCACTTAAGAGTCATTTAAGAAGAGGCTAATTATCTGAGTGATGTAAAAGCATTTGATGTAGTGCCAAAAAGAAATGTTTAGAGATGATGGAGCAAAACGAAAAAATTTTCTTCTCTGTTGTTGGTAAGAAAGAGGAAAGATAGTTTATTTTAATGATGTTGTGCAAGATACTATTAAATAACAATTGTGTAATAAGTGGCCAAGTTTGTGGCAGCATAACAACAGCCTATATAATTAGCAACTAGTGAGTGACCAGTGACCACTACTCTTGTTGTTCCATCATTCATTGCTTAATAATCAGTATTTTTAGGTCAGGGTCATTTAATGAGTTTAAAAAATTTTGCATATTTCCTATTCCAATATCGTTTAATTTTTTTTTCAGGAATTGAATTTTCAAAATTTCAAGAATCAAGTATTTTCAATTAAGAATTTTTAATTGGAAAATTTAGATTAGAGAAATTTAGAAAATTAAAGAATTTTCAAGAATTGGTTCTGCGTAAATTATTCACCCGACTAAAATTTATGTGAATGAAAATTTAGATTGCAGGTCTTCTTCAAAACTTTTCTACGTCATCAAAATATTTAGAAAAATGATGAAGTGAAATGCATAAAAGGTCAAGAGACCTTCTCGGAAAACATAACAAAAAAAAACACATTTTTGAGTAATTATTTTGAAAAGCCTATTTTGTTTATTGCTAATTATTCTTGAAAAAACTTATTACCATTCAAATATACTCAATTACCATTCTATCTTCCTTAATATGCATATCGTATGTAACTTCTTAATGGCCTCTAAAAGATCTTTTAATTTTTATTGCTTATCTATCCAAAGTCTATCATTCAACGTTACTCTTTGTCACCACTAATTATCTTTATTTGCCAAAATGATTAGCTCAAATTGTTTTCCCAATATTTTCGATGCCAAAGTATTTTCACGTTAATGCTAAACTTTAAGCTATCCTAAATTATGCATTAAATGGTTCATTGATCTTTCGATTGGTCAACAAACATTATCTTTGATATTGTTACTAAATAATATCCAAAAGTTATCAAATATTACTGTCGGTTATTACTGAGTAAATTATCAAATAATTATAAATTCCTTCTCCCAACTGAATATTAGACTAAAGTTGAAAGTTAACTGACTGATTCTGTTAGAAAGTCAGAAAATTTACAAGTATTCCTTGATTGAATCAAGGTCAAAAGTAAAAAAGTACTAGAAAGAGGTAGATAGATAGATAGATAGATAGATAGATAGATAGATAGATAGATAGATATAGATAGATATAGATAGATAGATAGATAGATAGATAGATAGATAGATAGATAGATAGATAGATAGATAGATAGATAGATAGATAGATAGATAGATAGATAGATAGATAGATAGATAGATAGATAGATAGATAGATAGATAGATAGATAGATAGATAGATAGATAGATAGATAGATAGATAGATAGATAGATAGATAGATAGATAGATAGATAGATAGATAGATAGATAGATAGATAGATAGATAGATAGATAGATAGATAGATAGATAGATAGATAGATAGATAGATAGATAGATAGATAGATAGATAGATAGATAGATAGATAGATAGATAGATAGATAGATAGATAGATAGATAGATAGATAGATAGATAGATAGATAGATAGATAGATAGATAGATAGATAGATAGATAGATAGATAGATAGATAGATAGATAGATAGATAGATAGATAGATAGATAGATAGATAGATAGATAGATAGATAGATAGATAGATAGATAGATAGATAAAGATTAGATAAGATTAGATAAGATAGATAGATAGATAGATAGATAGATAGATAGATAGATAGATAGATAGATAGATAGATAGATAGATAGATAGATAGATAGATAGATAGATAGATAGATAGATAGATAGATAGATAGATAGATAGATAGATAGATAGATAGATAGATAAGATAGATAGATAGATAGATAGATAGATAGATAGATAGATAGATAGATAGATAGATAGATAGATAGATAGATAGATAGATAGATAGATAGATAGATAGATAGATAGATAGATAGATAGATAGATAGATAGATAGATAGATAGATAGATAGATAGATAGATAGATAGATAGATAGATAGATAGATAGATAGATAGATAGATAGATAGATAGATAGATAGATAGATAGATAGATAGATAGATAGATAGATAGATAGATAGATAGATAGATAGATAGATAGATAGATAGATAGATAGATAGATAGAAGATAGATAGATAGATAGATAGATAGATAGATAGATAGATAGATAGATAGATAGATAGATAGATAGATAGATAGATAGATAGATAGATAGATAGATAGATAGATAGATAGATAGATAGATAGATAGATAGATAGATAGATAGATAGATAGATAGATAGATAGATAGATAGATAGATAGATAGATAGATAGATAGATAGATAGATAGATAGATAGATAGATAGATAGATAGATAGATAGATAGATAGATAGATAGATAGATAGATAGATAGATAGATAGATAGATAGATAGATAGATAGATAGATAGATAGATAGATAGATAGATAGATAGATAGATAGATAGATAGATAGATAGATAGATAGATAAATAGATAGATAGATAGATAGATAGATAGATAGATAGATAGAATAGATAGATAGATAGATAGATAGATAGATAGATAGATAGATAGATAGATAGATAGATAGATAGATAGATAGATAGATAGATAGATAGATAGATAGATAGATAGATAGATATAGATAGATAGATAGATAGATAGATAGATAGATAGATAGATAGATAGATAGATAGATAGATAGATAGATAGATAGATACTGCGATGAATGTCATACCATAAACGCTAAAAGTGTCAATAATTCAAAAACATATATCAAAAATATGTCATTTTTATTATAACGAGGATGTTTTTGTTTTGTTTTTATCAAAATAAAATTTGAAAGAAAAAAATTAAGAAAAAGAAGAAAAGAAGAAGTATGCTTTAATGATATCAAATAAAGATGTCTTTAATTCAAAGATTAATTGCACAAGAAATGATAATAAAAAGACTTAGATCAAGGGATAGATTTTTATCAGTGTCGATTATTGGGAGCTGAAAGAAGATGGAAAAAAATTTCTTTTCAAATTCTCGAGAGAGCTTTAGATTTAAATATATGAAATTTTCTATGAAGAAAGGAGCAACAATATTCAGATAAAACCATTTATTCGCATATGATTCATAAAATTCGGAAAAGAAGCGCAAACCGATTTTGACATTATTAAATATATTCTTTCTACTTCTGCTTTTGACTTTTTTTTTTGCGTTTTTATTGCATTGATTCAATCAAAGAATATTTGCAGATTTCATGACTTTGTAATGGAATCAATCAGTTAATTTTGAAATTCAGTCTGATATGCTATTCGAAAGTATTGTATGATAATTTGCTGAATAAAAAACGCCAATAACATTTGATTACAATATTTGACTTAACAGTCAAATAACCGGCAATTTACTTATCCAACTTCAGGCTTCATTTTTTGCTAACTGAATTGGCCATAATTCACATCCGGTTACAATTAGAGCTTTTGTCGCTATTATTCAATATGTTGAATAATAGCGACAAAATTCACAAAGACTTAACAATTTGAATTACATATACTTTTTTAGTTGAAATTTTCCTGTAAAGAAAAATTAAAAACTTTCATCGAGAAAAAAATTTTTTCAAATCAAATTTTCTGTTATTTTTTCATTTTGTTGCAAGGCGCAGTCTTGTTGTAATAATTTTATCAAAAATTTTTCACCCACATAAAATTTTCTGCACTCGAAATGTATGGAATAGAACTTTTGTATTAATTTTAATTGGGCTGCTTGGAATTTAAAATTTATGATTGCGTTCTTTCCTTTTTTTCATACCGATAACACTAATGTCTTTTATAATTTAAGCTAACTTTTTGAAACTAAATTTCTAGTTAATTGTACATTTTTGCTAATAATTTTTAAGTCAAATGTTTTATTTAGATTAAAAGGAAATAAAATTTAAAACATTTTGAATGGCACATCATAGTACATCGGAATGAAAAACTAAAATTAATTAAATTTTAAGTATGCAACTGAGGAGTGCCATAAGTAAAAGAGTTGATCGAACTTTATTACCAACTTAGTCTATAACAGCTAGCATCGGATTTTAAGCATTTTTAAGAGTTTTGGAGCGAAATTTTGAATTGACAATTATGTGAGATGAGAGAGACGAAATAGTACAAAGCATTATAGGCTCCAAAAAGGAATTACTCTGAAATAGAATGGCCTTCTTGAACACACATAATATTTATTTCCTAGGCCAATTCTGCCGAAGTAAACAATCGAAAGGTTTGGCCTAGACATGCCTTTTGTTTAACATATACAAATAAATGGATATGCATGCATGTAGGCATGCATGTGGTTCTACACATCGCTGTGCATGTATGTGTACTTATTTATTTCATTTCCAAAAAAAGTTTTTGAGCTGGAAGGAAGGAAGGAAGGAAGGAGGTTTACTGCTTCCGATATCAATTTTAAAGGCTTATTTCACTGACATTCAGATTCAAATCAAGCGACAGAGAGCAAAAAGACTTCTCTTGTGTACGCCATATTTCATTTACTACTTGAGCAGTGTAAATGAAATGATTTCGATGATTTGGTAGGTTTGGATTGTTCAGTTCTTATGTTTCTTAGGATTTTCAGATATTTGGGAGGAGATAAACAGTTGAATGGTAGACAGTAAATGAAGAATGTTTGATATTTGAAATATTTGAATATTTGAAATTTTTGAAATTTTAATGGGAAAGGGAATTAATATTTGAAATTTTAATGGGAAATGATAAGACGGAAGGGAATTATCAATGGCTTTGTTAGTTACTAATTATAACAGAATTAAGAGGAAAATCTACATAAAAAAATTAGCATAAAAATTTTGGATCGAGTAGACAGTCATAATGAGAGGCATTTTTTTTTAGTTTAGATTTGATTCCTAAAGGAATAAGATTGCAGTTTTATAACTCGAATATCAAAATATCCAATCTTTTGGAATCGCATCGTTCTGAACAACATGCAAAAATAATCACTGAAGAGAGATGTCGCTTCTGGCGGTTACTGAATACAGATGGCGCTCTTGACGATATTTTCTCGGGAAAAACAGTTTCGGGGAAAAGATCATCTCAACTCTGTTCAGCATAAAGTGTTGCTTATTTTTCGCGGAAAACACAAATAGATTTTAGGTTATACAATGAATTTAATGCACACACACTCTCTTTCTCTCTCCCTCTCCCTCTCTCTCTTTCTTACCAACAAGAATAAACCTCCATTATTTATTAATCTGATTGTAATTACTGCTATTTTACTAAATCTGAAAGTCTATAAAGGTAAATAAATGTAAGCGGCTGATTCATTTGTTTATTAGATCACACCTTCTTGCGATGTTAAATGTCAAACTCTAAAGGAAACACATTATCAACAGCGCTCATTTCATTATCGTTCAGTTTCAATCATATATCGAAATCTTTATTCTCACTTCTTTACAACTGTTTGTCAAAATATTCATCGAAAAGAAGAAATGAAAAACCTTTAAAATGATGTAGTGACTTTTCTGTCTAATGATTACAATTTTTTAAACATTTTACACAAACCAAACTTTTGCGCTAATAAGTGATGCTAATATTGTTTATGCTATTATAATGAAGTTTAGACTTGATTGGATGAAAGAAAAACAAGGAGGAACTATCCTATGCTTATGAGTTTAAAGTTTGATGAAACAGAAATGAAATAATCAGTAATCAGAAATTGGGAAAAGATGGTGATTATTTTCAAAAAAGGAAATATAATGGATTGCTTGAAGAAAGACGAATAAATGAAATTGAAGAAAAATAATATTTCAGTCGAGATTTTAAAAAAAATAAGTTTTGCTTCAAAACTTCACAGTGCCTATAAAAATAAAAATTTCGATTACCTTATGAAAAATACGAATTTTGTATTTGGAAGAAATGGAATATAGTTTTTTTGAGCAGCGGCTAGTTTCCAGGGAAAGAACAAAATTTTGAAAATAAGTGATAGTCGGTTCAAATGAAGGGAGATTAACATCATATGTGATAAAAGACGAAATTCATGTCCATCAACTTTTTATGAGCCAATTGTATAGATATAATAAAATTCCCTTGAGGCTTCACTGACAACTTTTCAGGAAAAAAAGAAGAAAAACAGCAAAAAACTCTTCTTGTTTGCTAAATATGGTAAGAACTTTACAAAAATGAATGCTTATATGGCATAATTAAACTACCTAATTAATTAATGATCTAATACTAAGATTAATTAGAGAGTAAAGCAGAAAACAACAAATGAAGTTTGTTTGAATTTATGCGCTTTCAAATAATATTCAAATAACAAACTGTTCAGTTCATTACTTAATTTCTATTTTGTTATATGATAGACGTTGTTATTCTTTAAGAATATTTTTTATAAGTTAATTTGCACTTCGTCTCAAATTATTATTCTCAATCTTTCTACTTCTCGCTTCTTTCAAAACAACGTAGGCCTAAGCCAACTCATATAGAAAACAACTCTGAAATTGTTATTTCCAAAATTTCCAATTCATGTAATAGCTACCCTTGCACTATTTCCAAGTAAATATTAACATCAGTGAATAAGGTTTTTGGGGGTTAAAAGTCATTTGCTGTTACTGTCACATTCACAGTTACATATAGCTATCATAATATAACTATCACAGCAATCAATTTTTTATATCAATCAATGAATGAAGAGATTATCATTCGTTATCAGATGTTGTTAATTATTATAACTGGTGATAATAGATAATAATGTGATTATATCTGTTGCAAACTAAATAATCTCGCAGAGAGAGGAAGTAATAAATGATTTCCTGACAAAAAAATCAATTTTTAACGTTTTGACAAAGAAACATGCTTTTCCCCTTTCCCTTTCCCTCTCCCTCCCTCTCTCTCTCTCTCTCTCAATCAATTATGGTAATATATTGGTTCGCATCATTGCTATCTTTAACGTTCCATTTCACGAACGGTAGCATTGAGAACATTAAACTTAATTGTGCATAGAAAAATATTGAATATTTAATGATACGGAAGCTTTCTTCTATAAAACTTATCGCGAAAAGCTCAAAAGATGGAACTAAAACACGACTTTTTATTTATTTTTTGATAAAAAATGAAGGAATACTCTGCATTGTACATAAAAAATGGATTACTCTGTGTTGAAATTTGATTGATTGATATTTACCTATCGTTATCAGTTGACTGATATTTACCTATCGTTATCAGTTGACTGATATTTACCTATCGTTATCAGTTGACTGATATTTACCTATCGTTATCAGTTGACTGATATTTACCTATCGTTATCAGTTGACTGATATTTACCTATCGTTATCAGTTGACTGATATTTACCTATCGTTATCAGTTGACTGATATTTACCTATCGTTATCAGCTGACTGATATTTACCTATCGTTATCAGTTGACTGATATTTACCTATCGTTATCAGTTGACTGATATTTACCTATCGTTATCAGTTGACTGATATTTACCTATCGTTATCACTCATTTGACTTACTTATGGATAAGTGCTATTGTTATCTGTGATCATCACCTAGTAATCAGATCGCATGTGTAATTTTAATGAAATTCGTGGTTTTATGATAGTTGTATCATCTACAAAATTTCATCTTTCAAATGCTGGCATTTATTTAAGCAACTCACAGTTATTACACTTGTAAAATTACTTTCATAAATCAATGTTTTGAATACTTCCCGGAAATCATAAAAATTAATTATTTTGGATTATAATTTTTCTAAACACAAGACACTCATTCAGATATATGAGACTTGCAATTTGGATCAATGAAGTTTGTGAAAGATTTTTTTGGATAGAGCAAAAATGGACGAAAAATTATGGATGTAAAATATTAGAAAACTTTTTTAATTTGCTTTAAACTTTAAAGTACGATTGATGTGCATCACTCTCCTTGCATAAATAATTGCTCATTCAATTCGAAAAAAGGAAATTGTAGCAAAAACTGTCGTTTAAGACGTGAAATATACTAAACTAATTGAATTTAGAGAAGTAATAGTTTTACAACATATTGAATTGAATAAATTCCAATAAAATGAAATGAGTAAAGAGAGAATTCCACGATGATTCCATTGGAACATTTCACACACTAAAAAATTTCACTTCGTTTACTTTATTTTTTCTAAAGTGAACAGCAAAAAGTAAGCTTATTTGATCAAGTGGACCACTATCAAATATAAATAAAATACACAATTTAAAATATTATATTTTATTCTTTATAACTAAAAGAGATCTAACAAGTTAAAATGTCTTTCATAAATAAAATTTGTTATACATTTTCAGAGCAATGAATTTTTTTTAAAAAAAAAATTTTTTCAAAATACCAAATCTCCCTATAAATTCACTTCTTTCATATTACCCTAGTACACTACATTAATCAAACACATGAAAATCAATCAAAAAGTTAAGTTTTCTTTTTCACTCCGTTGTCTAAGGATTGCAAAATTTATAACGATCTAATGTAAAAGGACTTTGAATCTGAAAAAATTTCAAAAAATATCGTTAAATATTTATATATTGTTTAAAATTGAAAGATTAGCGTTATACAGGTGTTCGATCTAATCATATGGCTGTCGAAACTCGAAATTTTTGAAATAACTAAATCAATTACATTTGAAACATTACAATAGATGAAAAATGACGTACTTAAAGGATAAAGGTATTTTCAAAATATTATCAAACAATTTTTTCATTCGTTCTTTCAACCGGCCATTAAAACCATCCCCTGAACAGATTACTTATTCTTTCTTACTTTTAACCTTTTACCTGGATGATATTCTTAAGTTCATTGACAGCTTCATTAACATATATTAAATTCTTCAAATCGAATTGAAGAAATCGACGCAAGAAAAATGCTTTTGCTGTAATGAAAGCATTTTATCCGGATAATTTGACGTTTTTTTTTTTTTTTTTTTTTTTTTTGCACAGTTTGGAAACAGGCGAATGAATTGATTCTTTACAAACATCAGAGAAGATTAGAGATTTGAGTTGATTACCACGTTACCTTGTACAATCCGTAGAAGATTGAATTGGAATCGATTGAAAGTGTTTAGATGAAAGTTTTGGTAGAAGCATACAAATGTGCAAGTTGAGAAAGAGAGGGAATTTGTATTGTTGTTGACAATTGCGAGTCATTCTTTCTTGACATTATGCAATTGTCTACAGTTGCTATTAAGTTTATTATCAAATAGGAAACTTTCTAAGAATTAGAAAACAAATTAGCGAGTATTTACAGTATTCTAAACAATACAAATTATTGTTGTCATTGTAATATTTAACCAATCTAAAATGTTTTGATCAGATGTTTTGTATTATTTTTAATCCTTTTCCTCGTTAATTTCATTCATCCTAAACTAATATCTTTTTGATTGATTTGATATTGAAATAATCATTCATGTTTTTGATTGATTCCGTATTGAAATAATCAGTCCATTTCTGTTTTTTTTTTTTTTTTTTTTTTTTTTTTTTAAATTTAACAATTTTTGAATCAAATTCTTTTGATCGGAGCAATCAACAGTTTTTCATTGACTCTTTTTACGTTTATATTATTTTTTTGTAATAGTAATTTAACAGCTTTAGTTAAGATGCTCATAGACAACCACTAAAAAATAATAGTTTATTTCTATTTTGACTACTTTCAATTGCAAATATTGAAAACGTAATAGAATTTTGTATTTTTAGAATCAGTCTTTTATAGTTTTTTATACTTTTTTTTCTTCCATAGACGATGAATCCTCGTTTTTAAATTCCAATTTGATTTTTGTTGGTTCATAGATCAATAATGATGTCATGAATATTAGCAATGATATCACCATCCATTAATTATGCTTTAATAAATTCGATTTCTGATTTATGATTTGGCAGTGACCAATTCCTTAAATTTTACTTCTTAAATTACACACATTGTAATGGAATACGCATGTGGAAGCATTGGCGAAAACATAAAAAAGGATTTTGCTTTTTTCTATTTTTGAAAGATTCTTTCATTTCTGTGGCAGTAGCATTGTCAACGTGTGAAAATTGCTTGTAATTTCTCTTCGCTTCTACGCATTTCTAGGTAATGATTAGAGGTAGCTGAACGGAACTCTTCAGGAACGATAACATTGCATATTCCCTTCCATTATTTATTCTCGTACATCCTTTAGCTAAAGAGTTGAGTGAGCACAGTTCTTTCCGTCAAGTTAATTTCATTTAAAATAATGCCTTTCTTTATCAACTATTATTATATTTTCCATCATTATTTGAAAAAGAAGTAAAACTTTTATTAGTCTGGTAGCATTATAGCATTATTAGTCCACGGTGTAAAATACAATTCAAACTTTTTGTTTTTTTTTTTTTTTTTTTATATATGAGCTGAAGCATCACAAACAATTATACAATTCATCACAAACAAACTGAAGCATCACAAACATAATTCTAAGTAGTCTTACTTAGAATTATGATTTCATGATGAGCTCAGTAATGAATAATGCCAATTTGATTCATCTCGACTCTCCAATTTTATTGAACTGTCGCTGTTCTTTAATCATTTTACTGTACTTACTGAATAAAAATTCATTTAAAGTCATTTGATTAACAATTTTAAGCAATCAAAATTGAAATTTGAATCAAATTCAAAGTTGATTAGTTTAATCTTGACTCTTTCCAAAGCCAGGAGACTTGATATTTTTCATCATGTATAATAATAGTTCATTTAAACTGTTCTAATGCTTTTTCATTATTAAGTTGTTTTTGTATTTATGAATTCTAGTTGCCAGAATCGATTTCTATTATTCAAGTTTATTATCTCGGCCTTAGTTGATTAGGACTGTCACAAAACGAAAACTTTGAATTTGGCTTATGCATCCGCTTTCAGTTATTATGGGTCCAATTTTGTGTAAAATAAGGAAAAAGCTGATTTTAGAGTTACTTGCCCTTCTTGCTGCTTAGCTGATTTTGATTTATTATAACTGGCAAATCATAATAATGGTTTCACTTAATTACTTGCAATACCTTCTGGCAAGCAATCTATAATACTGGCTATATCATTATAATTTTCAATGAAATTTATTCCGATTTCTAACTTAGAATCTTATAACAGATGAAAATTCAACTCCTTTTTTTTGATTTATTATGGTTCTTCCAATCGATTTGCTAATTTGTTGAAGATGAAGCTTAGTGTAATCCAGTATCAAAAGGCACTACAATTGCTTAGATTTTCGGCATTAGATTAATTAATCTCACTTCTTTACGTAGCAGTAAGATTCCGTTATTTTATTGATTCCTTTATAGATTATTAAAGTCGTTTTAATGATTGGTAAACTGAAATAATTTTATAATATATTAAATTAATTTTGTATAAAATGTACGAGATATAAGCTAAAGATTATCTTATTTGAATATTCCTTTGACAAACATAAAACTGTTCCAAATTTATACCTTAAAGAGAAATCATTTATCTAACACTCATACTAGAGCTTATATGCATTGCTTAGAATGTTAAATTTGTTGAGATTATTTGCTTCCGGACAACTTTATATTTCAATAGTTAAAAGGTTTTTGAGTTCTTTGTTCAATTAGCTTTCTTTGCTACTAACTACTTGGAGTACTGTAGGGGTTATCTAATCTGACAGTCACTCTTATGAGCAATTGATGCAATGCTATAAAGAGTAAAGATGATCATCCGAGAGTGGTGACAGCTCTTTACTTACTGTAATCTCTGTTGTAAGCTAATGCCCATTATATAAACCATTGTCAGGATTCAGTTTTTTGATTATTTTTTTTAGTTTCGATTCGGTTCGTTTCAGAACTACACCTACATCAGTTCATTTCCAACGAGTGATAATATAACAGCAACGATAATAGTGGTGGAACGAAAGAGAGGAACGACAGAAATACCCCAATTTAGTGAATTGTTGGAATAATTTAATATTCGATTTGTTCATTTCCTTTCCATTACTATGTAATCATCCAAGAAAAATAAAACTTGCCGAGGTTACAGCAACAACAAACAGTAATTGTTGAGTTGGAGTCTCCCTTCAGTGTTCCATTGTTTGCACACTATTTGATATGACATATATTATTGAGAGTGACACAAGTGTGACAGTCATTAGACAAGTGGTCATCGATACAAAGGCGCAGGTCTTTTTGTCGTATTGTTTATTGGTTTCTTCTCTAACTGCTGCTTGACATAGAGTCAGTTCTGAGATGTTCGACTGTCACCAGCGCAAAGCTTAACTTCGATTGACTTCTACTGAGCGCTAACGGAGACCTGACTTCTTTCCACTCCATCTGGGCTACAGAAATTGTCAGAACTTATGTGATAACCAGTATTCTTTTTTGCTGGTACCCTTAGCCTAATATAAAACCTGCTAATGAGTTTACTTTCCATAATATTTCCTATACTGAAATGTTTAAGGTTTTTAAATGACGGATCATTCTGCAAAATATTCCATCAATACTCTTCTTATAATTTTGTGGGATGAAAAAGACGTCTCTTTGAGAGAAGAAATTAAATAATTCATTTTCTGGTATGGCTTGAAAATGAAAACAGTAATAAAACTAAAAGAAATTAAACTTTTTTATCATTACTTTTGGGAGCAAAGTCACTGAGAAACGTACTTATATACCAAAATTGAAATCTGATCAATAAAACAAGGAAATAAAATTTCACATGATCGAAAACAGTAGGTTTGATATCTCCATCCGAAGCGTTTACCATACATTTTAAGTTAAAATGATTGACATTTTCTTTTTCCAACTTCCCTTTGGTTAGATCCGATAATCACTGTCTACTCAGATAATACTAAAATATAACAACGAATACCGATTTCTTTTAGAATAGTCATTCATCACTTCGAAGATATCGTTGGTATTACTTTTTCCATATTTTTTTTAAAGGAAGAAAACCAATCGCAAAATAGTACAAACTAAAGTAGAGGCAAATTTGCCATACCGTTGTCGTTTGCGGAAGTAATTTAGAAGCAAAAGAGTGTATATTTCAGTGCTGTAATTACTTTGGCAACCAAAAGAATAATTTAAAAGAGCCATAAATTTGTTGTTACCTTAATATCCAACTCTTTTCTGTTTATTAATACTTTTAGTTCTTTTTTTACGAAAACTCTTATCCTAACATAGTTGATTATAGTAAAACCAACCTTTAGGATACGCAAATATTAAAAAGCAGTTGGTGAGTTTGTTTGTTTTTGAAATTGGGAAAATTGTTATTTCTTTTCAAATTAGCAATTCTGATCTTGGAATTATTAAAGGACATGTCTAAATTCGGTAGACGAGACAATTTGGTGCATCAGGCTAGTTTTGATCGCTTGCAGAATGCTACAATAAAACAAGAAAATGTTAAAAAACATCGGAAAGAAATTGCGGAATCACCAGAATATGCTCGAGTAAGTCAAGCTATCAGTTAACATAAGTTCATTTTACTATGTAATAACTTGATCATCTCCAATGTTCGGTAAAATGTTAAAGATACAACATTCAAAGAATCTCAAAATAATCATACCGAATCGTTCTACGGGGTGGTTCTGCTACCAATTATTGAGAGAACTGAAACAAGACAGTTCCCCTTTTCACTTATTTGACGTATTTCTCGCAGTATAACACTGCAAATGGCACTTCCAAGTCGCATTGCAATAAACGTACAAAAAAAAAAAAATTGGAAAAAAGTGATCGATGCCTTTAACACTTATTTTCTGCTATGATTTCTCATCTTTTGAAGATAAAACATTTATTAATTACCAAATTGACCACAATTAACTCTTGGACGTCGGTTAGTCTAATTTTACTATCCAAAAGCAAAATGAAACAAAAAACGAAAGAGATTCTTGTTAAGAAGTTGTATAAAGGAATAGCCTCTGCCATTTATGAAATGTTAAAGAGACAAACTTACTTAGAACAAAAAAGCCAAAGAAATTTACAAAATTTTTACAACCACTTCTATGATTGGAACAAAGTAGCTTGATGAATATAACTCTCTGTTTGTGCGCTATTGTCACTCCTATGAAACAATATCAATCTTTTCCTTATTTTTATTTTTTTTTAGTCTTACTTATGCTTGTTTATTTACAGAATATTTATCATATTCGTTTAGATTCTGAAAGAATTAAACGACGAAGGCATCGAATTGATTTGGTCATCTGGCATCAATGTACCAATGAGAATCGCTGTTGTATTGGCTGCTGAAGGTAATACTTTCATCAAAAATATTTCCTGTAATTAGTCGCTATCAAATCAACAATAGAAAATAGTCAACAGATTGAATTTCAATTCTTCGAATACCTTATTATGATGTCCCAAAATAATTAAAACAATTGCTTAGTAATTAAAGAGCTTTATTTGTTTATTTATTGTCACCAACAGAGGACAGCGCTGAGTTTTTATCGTCGATTTTGGTGGAATATGAAATGAACGGTATACGTCTCAAACACCTGGAAATACGTCCGGTACAGGAAAGAAATGGATCTTACATAGTAGCCGGCATAAAAAAAAATTTGGAAGGTTGTCGAAAACTTAAAAACAATTTTAAAATATATTGTAGATGTATCGGAATAGAAGAACCTTTCGTTGCTATATGCTTTTGATTCTGCTTTTTATTTAAAATGAAAATTTCCGGAACAGTAGTTATTATTTGTCCAAAATTTAAATCAATTTTTTTATGATGAACTAATAAATAATTACTTTTTCAGTAAAATTTGAAATTTTTGCTGATTGTGAATGCACGAAAGATGCATTTTTGAATACAACGAAATGTTTAGCAGATCGATATCACATCCTACGACTGAATGTGTACAATAGTACCGATGAATCGATAGAAAAGAGTATCTTTCTAGGAGTTTGATTAATTCCAAATATTTATAAAAAAATATAAAAATTAGCTTTTTCATTCTTAAGCCTTTTTCATCAAAAAGCATCCTTGATAAAGAGTTGGTATATTCTATTTCAAATATTTGATAAAACAGTTCAGAAACTTTAGTAAAAACTTTGTTGTTTTGTATTAATTATAACTTTTTGGAAAATAAAAATCTAAGCTAGGCATTATGGAAAGTAAGTTTATGCATATGATGATTCTGTTCAGTTCCATGGTTTCCGAAACACATTTCCGATCTGGACAAATGCTACCATTGTGTAGTGAAGTATGAACCAACATCTGATCCGCGACATCCGGTACCGCAGTTGTCAACTTTTCTCTTTAGCCTGTAGTTTTGTTAAGGAAAATTTTTTAGGAAATAAATCAGAAAGCAAAAAGTAAATATTATTAATGTATCAATCAGTGTCAATGAATTTGACAGATACATTGAGCGATCCGAGTGGTTGCTGTCACTTTCAGGGTTACGGCGATAAAACATATATCCAACGAAGAGAGCAGCTGAACGACATTGCCAAAGAGTACAAACAGTAAGTTTGTTGGTGACCAGTTTTGACAGGTTTAAGCTCCAAATATTTTCTCCCTTCTTAACTAGAATTTAATGTTTTTTTTTTTCCTTAAGCCTTAAATACTTTTTTCTAAGCATTGATTTGTTCCTGTTAAGGTAAAAATTATCTCCAAAATTACATGTGAGAATGTAAAATTCGCCCTTGTATTTTTGGATTATTCATCAATGACAATTTTCGCTGAAACTTCAATTTAATTTGCTTTCAGTGGCGAAAAATTGCCGGAGATTGAATATAGTTCGGAAGAGCACAAAACTTGGGAACTTGTCTTTAACAAGCTCAAATCACTGCATTCTTCTTATACTTGTGTCGAGTATCAACAAAATTTTAGACAAATGGAATTGGAAGGACTTCTAGAGCCTACTCGAATACCAAAATTATCGCTTATTAATAAATATCTTCAACGTAAAATTTTAACAATTACTAAAAACCCTAATTTTAACCGTTTTATTTAATGCTATTTTTTTTTTTTTTTTTTTTTGAATCGTTTTTAACAATTTTTCTCATCATTTTTAAACCACTAAAATGTTATAGTTAAATCGCATTAAGAATTTTCATTTTCCTAAAAAATCTTAAGGACAAAGTCATCTCAAACCAATTAAAAAAAAGGTTCATTGTATTATCTTCACGACGAATTATTAAAACAAAGTTTTTTGGAAGTTTGAACTTTAACTTTCTGTCTAATGTTAAGGTCAATCTATAAGTTATATAAATGTATAATACCCTATCCTACCTCTATTTAAAGAAAAAATTTAAGAATGGTGACGCAGATATTAACAGTTGGCTTTCCAGGTAAAACCGGATTTACACTTCGACCATGTGCTGGATTACTTTCAGCACGTGATTTCCTGGCTAGTTTGGCATTTCGAGTCTTCCAAGTTAATCTTTTTTCAATGCTTAATTTCTGAAACCTATTGAAAGTCCTTAGAATGGCTGTTGTTCATTTTCAGACTACTATATACGTTCGACATTATGGTTCACCTCATCATTCCCCAGAACCGGACTTAATTCATGAATTCATCGGACATTGTCCAATGTTTGCTGATCCGCTCATTGCCCAATTCTCTCAGCAAATTGGACTTCTATCACTGGGTGCAACTGATGAGCAGATCGAACAGCTTGCTACAGTATATATTTTGAGTCTATTTACAGCTTGCTACAGTATATATCTTGAGTCTTTTTACAGCTTGCTACAGTATATATCTTGAGTCTTTTTACAGCTTGCTACAGTATATATCTTGAGTCTTTTTACAGCTTGCTACAGTATATATTTTGAGTCTTTTTACAGCTTGCTACAGTGCATATCTTGAGTCTTTTTACAGCTTGCTACAGTATATATCTTGAGTCTTTTTACAGCTTGCTACAGTGCATATATCTTGAGTCTTTTTACAGCTTGCTACAGTATATATCTTGAGTCTTTTTACAGCTTGCTACAGTATATATTTTGAGTCTTTTTACAGCTTGCTACAGTATATATTTTGAGTCTTTTTACAGCTTGCTACAGTGCATATCTTGAGTCTTTTTACAGCTTGCTACAGTATATATTTTGAGTCTTTTTACAGCTTGCTACAGTATATATCTTGAGTCTTTTTACAGCTTGCTACAGTATATATTTTGAGTCTTTTTACAGCTTGCTACAGTATATATTTTGAGTCTCTGTTCCATATATGCTTGATTTGCAGTATATTTACTGCAATATTTCTCGTAATAGTTATATTTGTAATTATCAGTGCGATAGCATATTAAGTATAATGAAGTTGTTTTCAGATGTACTGGTTCACGATTGAATTCGGTTTGTGTCGTCAGAATGGTCAGTTAAAAGCTATCGGCGCTGGATTGCTTTCCTCATATGGTGAACTTATGGTTTGTTTCCTGCTGTGCACTAATAAATTAATTTAAAAAATTTTATGTTAGAACTTCTGAATTTGAAGTTAAATTTGAAAATTTCCGTTTTTCCCTTAAAATAAGACAACGTTGAATTCATTGATTGATAAACAAATCTCTTTTAGTAAATAGGAATAGGTAATGTTCAAACTCGACATCCATTATTTTCCAGGATGGCACAAAATTCCACAGCAGAATTAATTGCTCAAATAACAAAAACCAAATCTTTTGACAATAGTAATTATTGATAACAATTATGATTATTATAACTTAAGTATGGTAGATTAACAATAAAAAAATAATTAATAATAATAATAATCAATGGTACTAAATAACAGTGCCAGTGAGAAAGACACAATAATTCAGTAAGTAAGGAAATGAATTTTAGCATGCCTGTTCGGATAAACCACAACATGAAGCATTCGATCCGCAACGTACAGCACTGCAAAAATATGAAGATTTCGATTATCAACCACTTTACTTTGTTGCTGATTCAATCTTCGACGCAGTGACTAAATTGAGGTATTCTCTTACTATTTTCTAATTAAAATTCTGCGGACGATTTGGTTCTGTTCAAATGTTTATTTTGTTATCATCGCTACTTGGTTTTAGTATAGTCTTTTTACTGCTTAATAAAAGTAGCCAAGTTGAAGTCAAGTGAAGTCGACTTGATGTTCATTATTAAGTTCCATCATTTCTTGTGTGACCGAAAGTCCTTGTTTTTCGGTTGCCAAGTTTGCAGATGACATCTAATTAGCTTAGATTTTATCCTGCATAGTTTAGGCATTCATGATTTCATGTCATAAAAATTTTCCTAAGTAATATTTAAAGATGCTGTTTAAAAGCTATAATTAAATATTTACAATTGTAGGTCGAAAGAGAAATAAAAAGAAACAAAATAGTTTAGAAGATGATGTAGTTCGGAAAAATTCTGTGCGCTTCTTTCAGCTTCCAATTACGTTTCGTTAAATTACAATAAAACCGTGAACGAGTAAATTTTAGAGTTTTCGCGCAAAATTTTCAACGTCCATTTGTGGTTACCTATGATCCATATACGGAATCAGTGGAAGTTATGAGAGAAATGCAAGATTTGAAGGATGGATTAAATCGCTTCAAAGGCGAACTGTCATCGTTTACTGAAGCTGTCGAAGCACTGAGCAAAAATATAGCTAAGAAATGAGTTATATTTCCATCAACTAATTGTCAGGAGTAAGTTTCAATTGCGGAGGACACAAAAAAAGTGGATGTCATAAATTTATAATAAATCTTAATCTTTATTTAATGGATCTATCAATATTACTGGATGTGACAATCCTATTATTGATGAACTAAAGTTTGTATCTTCAAATTCATACTTCTTCTTTAGCTTCTTAAAATCTCGAAGGCATTCAGAATATATGCCATTAGTCAAAAATATGTATCACTGTAACAGTTTATGAGTGAGGAGAAATTTTGCCTCACTTGATTGTTTTAATCTTCATTTCGAACTTTATTTACCCATTTCTGACATCGAGACTAAATCTAACTCAGTAATCAGATCACTGATAGTAAGCATTTTGCTAATTGCAGTATTTATCACATATATAAACACATTCTTCTATGTTTTCAATAAAAAAAACTGCACAACAAGGCACACAACTAAATCACCAATAAAAGATTATCACTAACTGTCATGAATGCAAGTATCGTTTGGCAATCCGTAGAGTGTTCGATGATCTAAGACATTAATTCTTTCCTCTTCAAAACGATAAGGTAGTGACCCAAGAACCAAAGTGAGTCAAAAAATCAAAAAAGAACAACCAAACAAAGTTGGTTCGGAGTTTCCCAAAGATTCCTCACAGTTCTTCAAATTATCGTGTTTACAAAATTGACTTATTACCTTTCGATATATTATAAAACCAAAAAAGTACATTCCAGTGGCCAAGTTCATCTTTGATTTCTTATAATACATCTCTTTAGACATATGTTTGCAAATGATTATTTTGTACAAGTGTCGCATTTTTGAAATCTTGGACTGAGAATTTGTTTAGCTAACTTGCAGTCTGATACTTCCAAATTATGAAAGTTCAGTGGCAATAATGATTGTTGTTAAAAGGCTTCTGAACTATTATCATTTAAACTTCGTTTCAGAACTGTTGAGGACATGAGAGAGCGTCTGGGATTTGCTTTGTATCCCATATCGATATATAAATTGCTCGGACATGACTGTGGTGATTTGGCCTGAAAGCGTTTTTCTTTTTTTTTTTTTTTTTTTACATTACTGTTGTGACTGTCTGCTCAATTCTTATCAATTGCTTAATGCACATTTGTTAGCACAAATGAAGTCATATGAGTTCAGATTATAATAAAAGCATTTTACATCAAGAAAATGTCTTTTCCGGTCATACTCAGATCAGTAATTAAATGTACATTAATCAAATTGAAGCTAATTATTTATCAGGTTAAAATTTAAAATTCTACCAGCTTTTCTTCTAAAAAAGAGGTCAAATTCTAGGTTTAGAAGTCTTCTGTAAAAAAATTTCATATCAAAGTTGAAATCCAATCTACTTATTTTAATTGAAATTTTAAATAGCTTTGAAATATATTCCCAAGAAGGACGAAGTGAACAATAAATGGGTTGACCTTATATTTGATATTAATATTTGTGCGCAAAAGACGTCCGTTAAGAGGTTTTAATGGACGATAATTGGGTGACATTAAAACTGGACTAAGCTGCTTGGTTTCAGTTTGCTGAAGATCATTCCAAATTTGAAGCTAAAAATATTTGAAATAATTAGACAATCATTTCAAAGCTTTATGATTTATGTAATTACGTTTCTTTCCATTTGCTTCGTTTGTTTACTTTCCTACTTCAATTTTCCTAGTCTTTTTCCGTCTTGCATATTTCATTAAAAAAGAAAAGGCAAGATTAAGCCAAATATGGTTTTAAAAAAACAGAAGAAAAAAATCATACATCTTCTTTGGTGATATATATGGGATTATTCATGATAACCCAGGTAACTGTTTCAAAGCAACCTGGAAATGTTAGTGACCCCTCATATGTTATATAATCTTGAGTTTGTGGTAGAAGTCCATATGCACTGAATCGTTTAAGTATTGTTTTTGTGCCTGAAATAGATTTGATCATATTTTTATTTCACCGTAATATTAACTTTATTAGTATCATATCTATTCGATCATCCCAGCAATTACTTTACTTTAACGTAAGACCGTATACCATATTGTAAAAATAAATGGTATTTATAAGGATGACGGAATGGAAACCTTTGTAAGTAATACTCTGCGAAGCAACAGTTAATTTTCGTAACTCAGTGTTTGATACAGTACCCAGCTGAAACAACTTCTTTTAATTTATAATGACATCGAGAGTTCTTGAATAAATTGTAATAATCCCAGGAGTTCTTGAATAAACTTATCAAGCGATTATTTAGAATTTCTTAATTAGCCGGATAACTAAAATGAGATTCCGAAATACGTTATCGCTGTTAATAAATATTGCTAGGAAAAAACAGTATATAAAATTACAAAAGAAGTTAATACTTACATCAACAATTATTGAGACAGCCAAAAGACCACGTGACTGTGACATTGCTTCCGTGAAATTGGCATATAAATCAGTATTGTACGCTAGTAGTTGTATCTAAAAGTCTACAGAACTCTTTCGGCTATTTACAAATGCAAACAATGAAAACAATAGAAATTTCTTTCCATTTACCCATAGCTTTCCATTTTGCATATTGAAAGTATTTGTGGTAATGTCCGCAGCTTTAACTTTACGAATTAAAGAGCTTTACCTCTTTACAGAAGAAGTAATACAGAATAGAAGAAGTTACCTCAGCTGGAAATCGAACTCGATCGATGGTGTGCTCCGAGCCTCGTTCATCATTGGCTACTAGTCCAAAATGTACCACAACATGGTGCAGTCGATACCTGTCCTTGTAAGGAAATACAGTAGCATATTACAGTACTTGTGGATGACATATATGTTAGCATACTATACTTCTACAGTAACGTCCATCTGATATACATAAAATTTCTAGTATTTGTGTTAATAATATAGCTCTGTCATTTTATACCTGTACGGTGATGAAGGACCACCACTGATATTGATATTTCCATGTTCGATCAATGAATCATTGATAGTGATCAATGGTAGCTGACCCATATTTTCCAGTGTTGCTTGCACCTTGAATTGAAATAAATTCCTTAGTATATTGTATAAGATGACGAGAAGTAATTAAAATAATTCTATGAAAATAGCTGTAATAATTTTATCAACAAAACTCTTCTAATAATCCTAGTGATAGGATCAGTGATCATTTAATATCAGCATGTAAAACAAATACTTATTACAGAATGATTAAAGTTTATTTATGTTTTAGATCAATCAAGAGTTGAATAAAGTAGATTATATGAGTGGTGTAGACACTTGAAATAATGTGAGCGTACCTGGTGTTTATTAATATGAAGAGGTAGGAGACCAGGATCGTATAGCAGCACCGACGGATCTACATTGATCGGTGATTGTAGTTGCCCTGTTGTACACATTCGCCAATGCTTGTTAACAAGGCCCCAGAAATCGGGACCTATAATGCAAGGGTAGAAACAGGCAGTCATCAACCATGGAATCATACCTTTCGTTCCCCGGTGCTGAAATTTGAATTTCCAAATTCAATTAAACTTTTAAAAATATACCATACCTGTGAATTTTTGATACTTTATTACAAAATACTGAAAATGAACTCCTCTATATCTATCAAAATCTACAAGAAATAAATTAACCTTACTTCAGTCTTTTAAAGCTAAATTAATACACCAGTCTTAATACTGGTGTATTAATTTAGTCTTAATACTGGAGAAGTCAAGCAATTTATGCTCTTAACAGGAACGAATTTAAGAGAAAACAAGAGAAAGCCTCTCAATCATGCTTTATCATTTATATCTGTGTTTTCAGAAACATTCTCTTGCCTTTAATGTGTTCCGTCCTTGCAGAAAGGAAATTTGGATTGTTCGATGAAAAACTGGTTGATAGGAATCAATAAATCAAATAAAAATAATTGCTGGTCTTTTTAATTTAAAATTATTGTTTAAAAAAGCTCATTGTGTGCAAAGAAACAATGACTGAAGTATTCCGTGTACTTAAGAGGAAAGATAAGTATAAAAAAGTATTTCGGAAACGTTAATGATAAGAGTGATGGTAATGGTATGACTAATTAGTGTCTGTTCCTCAAATGCTTTCTTTAATCCTAGCATTATGTAAAGTAAGAGTAAGGAGAATGAGCAGAAGAGAAGCGGAAGACATTTTGTGGAACATAGGCTTACAATCCCTTATTACCTTGATTATTTATTTCTTCTCATGCAATCCTTTTTCTAGGCAACATTAAAAGCATTTTTCCTCAAATGGCACCATTAAGTAGTAGAACATTGCTATTATGGTGAAAAAAGCTATTTTAAGCTTTCCATTTATTTCATTAATTTCTTTTTATTCTTAAGCTTTAATGACGATGATGGATTGAAGCGCTAAAGAATGAACATAAGATATGAAGGATAGATAGCAAAGGACAGGGTAAGGTTACAAATGATAATAGAAGTTTGAAGAAGTATTTCCTAGTTATGGAATTATCTTCAATTGCTTACTTATTGCTTCCTTTTCATATTTCAACTAAATCACTGTGTGAACACCAATCCTTTTCAGTCCAGTAAGCTATTCCTAAGTCAAATAAAAGTTATCACTTATATATGTATATATATAATATTAACACTTACCTACTGATATTACTAATATATTGGTGAGATTTTAATAGTGAGTAAATAATGCTAATGAATAAATAATTCTATTAGTTGAATTGCCTAAGCTATTGGCCAAAGTTTAATCGAGTTAGCAAAATGTAACTATTTTAACTTATATTTACTGAATATTAGCACTGAAGTATAGGGTGCTTTGCTATATCGTCACTACTTATCATATGAATCATTAATTAAACATAATGATAACAGAAGGAAAATGTATCTTTCGGTAGTTCAAAGAATTAGTCGTGTATGTGAAAGTGTATCATGGGATATCTGCTCTCTACAAATTTAGATAGAATGTGACATTAGAAATAAATAAATTAGATGGAGGAGAAGATGAAATTCTAATTATCGTACTTTTAACATCTCTTTTAGCTCAGAAGTATCCTT